GTATGGGATGCAAGTTTTGAGAGTAGCATGTTGAGGTGCATACACATAGGACTTTTATGTGTGCAAGAAGTTCCAAAAGAAAGACCAAGTATTTCAACTGTTGTTTTGATGCTTATAAGTGAGATTACACATCTTCCTCCTCCTGGAAAAGTTGCATATGTTCACAAGCAAAATTCTAGAAGTACAGAATCTTCTCAAAAAAGTCATCAATCTAACTCAAACAATAATGTAACTATGACTGATGTTCAAGGAAGGTGAAATAATGTACATGGGTCAATACTATTATTTGGTCGTAGTTTACTTGGTTTTGTCTATGAACAAATCTGTTTCCTATTTATTAATTTGGGAAGAGAACTTCTTGAGTCAATGTAATGTTAGTGCACTCATGATAGATGATTTCTCGAATGTATATTGGCCTGCATTGAGATTTAATGAGATGCTAGCATTTGAATAGTGTTGAAAAACGCTCATAAAACTATATTAATGTGTTCAATTGTCGTTTGAATAGTGTTGAAAAACACTCACGAAACTATTTATGTGTTCAAATGTCCTTCAAGAAATTGAGTTCAGTTTCATTGGAGTCATTATCATGTTGGTGCACTCAATAGATGACTTATTGAATATGATAAGCTAGCTTTTGGATAGTGTTGAAAAACACTAACTAAACTATTGTAGCTTCAATGAAATCACATCAAATTGCATTGCTCACGAAGGTTGTTATAACAACTTAACAACCTTCTCACTAGTTCTATTCTCAATGCAACTTACTTTTTTTATTTATACAAAGGAGAATTGTTGATACTTAAAGTCTTGATCTAGTTCATATACTCTAATATCTTTCCCTTAAATGGTGGAGGCTTTTTTCACATGTCTTCATCTAGGACAGGGTTGTTTTGTCCACAACCTTGAGTTAAACTCTTAGAGAAAAAAATTTAATGAGGACGTGGGTTTTGTAAGGAGATCAACATATTGTTGAGTAGTGAGATACTTCAATTTCCAAATAGTTAAGATTGCTTAACTGTTTTAGAGAAAATTAAATATGAAGTTTGGAAACTAGGTGTTACATGTGACTTTTGGAGTTTTCAATGATTTATAACATAGACAAAGACTAGCATGAAGATGGTATAGGTAGGCTTAGTGACGGTAAAAAGTGAGGGGTTACACTTACGGGTTTGAAAGCCAAAATGGTGAAGAATGACAGTAAGTTTCTCAAACTAAGCCTTAGGTGCTTGTTTGAGCCTATAGATGGCCCTGTTCAACTTCCAAACAAAATATGTGTTAATATCAACGAACCTTGGACATTGTTTCATATAGAACTCTTCTTCTAGAAGACCGTTTAGGAAACTATTATTCACATCTAATTGAGATTTGTGCCAGTGTCTAAAGATTTTCAAAGTGGGTGTACCTCTAATAGTGATATACTTCACTACTAGGGAGAAGTTGAGATTGCCTAACTGTTTTAGAGAGAATTGGTCATGAAGTTTGGCAACTAGGTGTTGAATGTGACTTTTGTAGATGCCAATGATTATGATTTCATCAACATATACTAGCATAAATATGATATAGGTAGGCTTAGTGAGTGTTAAAAATGAGAGATCACACTTAGTAGTTTGGAAGTCAAAGTGGTAAAAAGTGGTAGTAAGTTTCTCAAACCATTCCCCAGTTGACTGTTTAATCCCAAAGATGGCCTTGTTCAACTTGCAAGCAAGAGATGTGTTAGTATTAACGAAATATGGGGGTTGTTGCATATAGATCTCTTCTTCTATAAGACCATTTAGGAATGAATTATTCACATGTAATTCAGAGATGTGCCAATGTCTAAAGATTTTCAAAGTGAGTATAACTCTGACAATAATGGCTTCACTACTAGGGAGAAGGTCTCTTGAAAATCAAAGCTTTGCACTTTTGAATAAAACCAACGAGATTTTACTTGATTCTGAAAACCCCACTTATAATATATTGCACTTCTAATCAAAGGTTAAAGTGTAAAGCTCCAAAGTATTGTTGTTAATCAAGACTGCATTTTCAGCCTTCATAACAACTAATCACCTAAGATCTTTGAGAGCCAGTTTGTAGGATGTAATTCTAATTTAGTTAGAAGTGTGGAATGGAGCCTTGGTTACACAATGTCATGTGATAAGTAGTCATTGCATTGTTATTTCTAGTCGTTTTTCTTTAGCATTTTACCGCATTTTGTTCGATTTACTTTTAGTTATCATATTTTATGTTTTGGTTTGTGCTTTCTTGCTAATTTCAAGGTCGAATGAGCATTCAAGACAAAGAGGGATCAAAATCAAGCAAAACGGGACAAAATGGTAAATAAATAAATAAATAATAAAAAAAATTCTCCCATACAAAAACCAGAGAGTTGCTACGGGCCATAGCAGAAAGAAGCATTAAATGTCGCTTTTGAAACTTCTCAGTATAAGTGACAGAGGCCTGCTACAGGCCGTAGCAAAGAGGCAAGAGAAAGATTTGTTTTGCTTCCTTAAATAGATTGATTCACTCTTAATTATGTCTCTTAGGAAATATTTGATCGGTATCAAATATGAATATTTCACATTGAACCAAAAATAATTTTTACAAAACTCATAGCATATTATGCGTTTAGGGTTTCCAACTTTTGTCACTTTTCATTCCTAGTTTTTATGTATTTTGTTCTACTTTTCTCTGTAACTCAAGTCTCCAAGGGATAATTGTTGAACAAGGTTTATTCATAATTAGGTTTTTATTATCTATTTTATCTCTATTATCATTTATTGTGCTTGATTGATATGAGTTTAATGAAGAATACCTATGCGATTGTGTTTGCTCTCACCACGAGTGAGTAGTTCTCTAGTGACTAAGGGTTATGGAGATTGTTTCGTGATCTATCATGTGATTTGTTACTATCGATTGCGAGAAGTTTTAATTAAACTTATTTTATAATTTGAGTTCATGCATTCCAACTTTGTAAGAAAGTAAGTGGCTCCAAGTATCGACCGTAATCTGAAAGGATATGTGTTGATACCATAGTGCAAATTTTTAAACAACCTAATCTTGAGTATGTGAAAGCGCCTTGACGAATTTGAGAAAACCTAGCTAGGTAAAAGTAATGACTCGTCGAAGAATAATTCGAACGATGTGAAATCTAACGGGTTGTTTGTCGTCGATAGGGGCAATGCTCTGACGAAAGCAGGTAATGCCTAATTTTATCTATTTTCTATCATTTATGCAAAGTTTTCGCATTATATGTAACGAGGATCGTGTGATTGTGTTAGAAATATGAACCGTAACCCCGAGTCCTGTTTTCCTCAATTTGAGATTTAATTGATTTTTCTGTTAAGCTGTTTTCATTTAATTGCTTTTTTTATTAAGTTTTTTAATCAAAATTCTTACTTTCGATTTCTCTAGATATACACCGATAGGACAAGAATTCAATATTGTAACCATTGATCTTTGTGCTTCGATATCTATTTTATTACTTACAGCAACAGCCATGTACTTGCGACTGCATCATTTTCTTTGGCTCTAGTGGTCATGGAGTAAGTGTTTTGAGGATGAATTCTAGACGTTGGAAGTAAATTAATGGTAGATGTTTGAATAGATGGGCGTGAGGAAGAGAATGATGGTGTGTTTGAGGAGGAAGCACCTAGATTTGTGTGATAATTTGATGATTGCGGTGTGGAAACAATGTTGTTTGGGTCAATAGGATTGGTTATATTATAAAATGTGGAGGGTTGGTTGGAATTCTAGGTTATATTATTGGAGGAGATGCTATGAGATGTGGAGGATTAGTTGGAATTGGAATCATGTAAGTTTTTGGTGGAGGACATGCTATGAGATGTGGAAGATTGGTTGGAATTGGAATCATGTAAGTTTTTGGTGTTGTTGTAGGTTGGGCTTGTGGTGAGGTTAGATGCTTGAGGTAGACTTGTAGAAGAGGTGGTTGGATATACTCCACCACCTATGTAGGATGAAGAAGTAAGTGTGGTGTTGAAGGAAGAAAATGAGAGAGGAATTGGTATGAAGTTGATCCTGAGTGAGGATGGCTGAGGAAGTTTGAGTTGAAGGAGAAGCAAACAGGGAGCTATATCGAAAGTGAAGCTCATTAAATATCACATCATTGGAGATATAAATCCTACCATCATTAGCCACACATTTAACCCTTTATGATTTGAAAAACAGCCTAGAAATACACACTCCCTTGATAACATGCACGGTCAAAGTTTTTAAGGACTGTGTTATAGAGTAGAGAGAGCAAACCGAAAACTACGCCAAAAACTGATGCATGCCAATAGGTCGTGCCCGTTTTACCTTCTCTACTTAAAAGCAATCAATTTTTTTAAAAGTAAAACTAATTTGACACTATTTTCTAAAGGAAACTAAATATATGTTCACATTTCAATTTGAATTAAAAAAACTGGTTTCTGGCAAATAAATGTATGCCCATTTACATATCTTGTCATCAAGTTATGGCTCTTGGCATTAATAGTATGTCATCACGCCATAACAAGAAAATATGTTTAGGATGATAATTTTACGAATGACAGATAAATTGTAAAACTATTCCATCCATTTTACCCTAAATTCTGCATTACAAGTACTATGCAAAAGAAGAATATAACACATTCACATACAGCTCTTTCAGACAAATTTGTCCCAAAGGAAATGCAATAGAGAAAAAGTTGACTTTTATGTTTCAATTACAAAAGCTAAGCGCGAGCTTAGTAAAATTTGTCATATAGACTATAGAGCCATAGAGTGTTTGTGAGGACTAAAGAGCTTAACAAAAATATTAAGATTCTCGTCGCAGACTTAACAAAATCACGTGCCCTCAAAAGAACGGCGCAATAACGTCTAGACCCAACTAGAAAGAAAACAAACACTAAGGTGGTGTAATAAGGAAATAAAAAGTTGCAGTATCAGCCAGCATCTACACAAAATGAAGCAACCAACATAGTAATAGGTGACTTTGCGTGACAAAAGTTGGTACTTAGTACTAGACACTTACACTTAACTTAGCCTTTAGTTCTCATGATTGTGATGCTGCCTTTTCCTCCTTCGGTGCGGATTTTTGTTTTGCCAACCACAGGCTTTCCTGAGAAGGCAGATTTAGGATAAGCGGACGGATCGTCACTGCTTTGCTTTGATTTTGAAGGAGGGGTCAGAATGCGCTGATTGATTTCCTTCAGAGTAACATCTCCATGGGCACCACTTGGTTTAATGAAGGCAAATGGATATGCCACAGTAGAAGCCAGCTTTGTCGGTGTCCTTATAAAAGATTTCTTGCCTATATATGAAAGCAAATATCTTAATTTGTGTCTGCCGACAACAAATGTCATCAAAAAGTTATGAATTCCAGGTACAGAAATGTTATACCTTTGAAGACAACATTTTTGGAGACTCCAGTGACATTCGGTGGAACCATATTTTGTTCATGCTGTTCATGCGACGGTGTGATGTTACATAACTCTGCAGGAGGAAGAAATTTTTGTGAATAAAATTCAATCTATACAGAGAAAACAGCCGCAAATGACAATGTTGGAAGACAAGTGTATAGAAAACAATGTAATCTACCTGCAACATCAATATGCACATCATCTGCTCCTAAGAAATTCCTGTTTCAAGTAACAAAAGTATCAGATTATTGCGTAACCAACCAACCGTAAAGGAAAAAAATCGGCGGTTGGGAGAAGCATACAAATCTTCAGGACTGAATTGCATCTCAGCATCATTTAAGTATTCAGTAAGCCACCCTTCAGTTGCTTCAAGGTCTATGTTTTCCAATGTATATTCTATGTAAAAATTTGGAAAGGATCAGAAATAAATAATCAAATTAATTAGGGAAGCCGTCCATTGTGAACGGAAAGAAAAGAGCAAAAGGCAGACCTGGAGCACCAGACATCCATTGTGACACTTCAGGAAAAATATCCTTCATTGAGTCGTCTTTCCCCTATACATAACATTTATTAATTATGACTTCAACGCAAGAGAAGAACCAATTTTGTTAGCCGAACTAATGACAAAAGAGACTTTCCGCTGTTGAGGGACACACACTCATGACCACAAAAAGGACTCGAGAAAAGAAATACTAGTATGATATCATTAACAAGATTCCAACCAAACAACTTCATCAACAAACTATAGTTCAACATAGATTATCCATCACCCCAAATGTTTCAAATAAACGGTGTTTTATATCAAGTCATCATGCGAGCCAGTAAACATACAGTGTATAAGTGAAAAAGACTCGCTTTTAAGTAAAGATGATTACTAACTCTAACATCAGAAAAGATAAGCAAGACAATAGAACAGGGATGTTGTGTCCAATGCCATGATTCGTGGATGGCAGATAATGGCAACAAGCCAAAAATCAGCTATATAAACATGGCATTGTGGCCTCGAGAATAGAGATGTCAACGAATGGGGAGTACTCTCCCCATTCCCCGTCTTGGGGAGTTTCCCCCCTTCTTCCTTGTCCCCCGTAACACCCCGCGGGGACTTCATAATCATTAATTTAAATATACATGAATAAGGATTTTATGGATTACTTGGTAATTTTATAACTTAATAATAATACATTTTTTGGCCGCAAATCCTGGCTCAACTTGCAAAAACCAATACTGTTAGATTGGACACCGTCGCCTGGGTTCGAACTCGGAACCTCACAGTTGAGTGTGAGTTTCTAGTGGTTATGGTTGCACATTTATAAGGATTCTGTAATTGTATTGGGGTGAGGTTTATGATTACCATCCCCTGCAGGGCATTCAGGGAGACTTTTCTCCATATCCCGAAAGGAAAGAATCTCAGCTTGCGAGGCCCCAAATCCTAGGGATCCCCATATTCAGATGGAAATTGACATTCCTATCATTATGCCATTGCGGCAATTTGACATCACTAGTTATGACATTGAAAGACATTATGCATTTCCTTTCCTGATCAAGAACATAATATCTACATTTAATATAATTTACTAAGGCAATATATTCACATAACTGCAGTTCAGCACAAATATGGACAAAAAATCTGCACTTCTTAATTCTTCTTCTTCATGTTGTAATAAACATCGAACATGCTATAAGTGCGAAAAGATAAGATAATCCTGAAAAAACTAACAAGCACTGACATTTTTAAAACATGGTGCAGGCATCTCCATGTTGGAAAGAGAATTGTCACTCTCTTGGCTGTCAAACTGTAGCATCCGCCGCCTCTTAACTTGAGAAGTCTCCCTACCATCCTCTAGTTGTTCCTTTTGAATATAACTTGAATTTGAATCTGAAATCCACCATTTTATGTTTGTATTAGAAGTTAATAAATAATAATAGTAAAAGAAACAATGATGTCAATTGCAGGTCGGAGAAAATAACGATTTGTTCAAATTCCGTTGCACAACTGTGCTATAGCACCACTATATCCGCTATTTGACAATATTTTTGTACTAACTATGGTATCGCAGAACAATAGTGATTTACCCGAATTCCGGCATTTCGCTACACTAGCGCCGCTATTTAACAACACTAAAAAAGGAAAAGGATTCAATTTACTAAGTTCCATATATATTCAAAAGGCATGTGAACAAAAGAATGGTCTTATCTTATCTTACCCCCATTATTGACATTATATGCCAAATCACCGCAAGCCTTAACCGGAGTTGTTTCAGCATCAAACATGTAGGAAAGATCTTCTCCATTTTGAGGCACATCATTCCACAGCTCCTCCGAAATATCTATTGAAACAACAAATTTTCTCAAACACCCCTTTAGGTATAGAATAATGTACTTAAAGTTACCATTACCGATCCACTTACCGAAATTTGGGATTGTATTCTGCAGACAATAATCCTCTCCATGCCAATCCCATGGCTCCCTACAATCATATCATAGAGCATACAAGTAAACACCATAGTTGTGATGCAACGTTAACAAGTGATTTCAAACACAAAACCAATATCTACGAAGCACGGACACCGGAAACATCACACTGACATTGACACGTCGATAGGTAATAATTAGAAAAAATGAACAAATTAAAACACACATACATTTACACATTTTTCAGAGGTGTCGGTGCTACAGACACCAGAGACCGATATAAAGATCTTCACATAACATTTACAACATCAAAATCAACACAATGGACAAACAAAAATCAACAACATGAACCTAGAAACTGAACCATCAGATTCAACACCAGAAGTTACAAGCATAGTAATCAGTTTTTCTTTCATCCATTAATTGTATTAGTCAATAAACAACTGCAAAAATTAGTCAAATAAATAACTGCTCAAAACAAAAAGAAAAAAAAAAAAACAACCGCAGCGAAAAAGGGCGTAAATAAGGAACAAAAAAATCCAATCAAACCATTTCCAGAACAAAAAAAAACTACTGAATCAACTAGAACTTTTTGCCAACATTTGATGAAACACAGAAATCAACATTAACTTGAAGACCCTAAAAACAAAATCAAGCAAAAACCACAGTATATTATGTCTCAAACAAGATCAAACCTAGAACTTCAAACAATCTAAATACATTTACAAAATCAATCCAACAAAAAAAAATTAAAAAAATATATAAAAAAAAAAAAGAAAAAAAAAATGAGAATGGTTTACTTGTGATTGTTGTTAGAATCCATTAATTGAGCAGCAGCAATAAAGAGATTATCAAGTCAATGATGAGATGAGAGTTTTCATACATATATTCTTACAAGAGGAAAAAAAGGCACAAAAGTAACCGTTACAGAGAGAGATCGGTTTCGCTAGTGCTACTACACACTTCACTCCGTTTATATGTGTCTTCTCTCTTTGTGCTTTGTGTAGCATTTTATTTTTTATAAAAAATAAATAAATTATTATTTATTTTTATACTATCCACTGAACAGAAGAAAAGACACGGTGCAAAAAAACGCTGTACTGTGTTTTGTTTCACAACCCTTATTTAATATTTTGCGGTTTTCTATTTTTTTAATTTTTTGTTATTTAAGAATTAATAATAATTGAGATTAAAGAAAAAGAAGGAAAAAGAAAAGTTAAATAAAAAAGACGAAAATCTACGGGAAGATAGAGAGTACGGATTACGCAGAATGAGCGCATGGTTTTAATTTCCGAGACCCACTTCCTTTAGTTACTCGTCTTTCGTTACACTATCCTTTTTTTGTTTTTTTTGTTTGTTTTTAAGAAATCATTTTTTGTTTTGTTTTTAAGAAATCATTTTTTGTTTTTTAGTAGGAAAAAAACAAAATTATAAAAGACTAAGGGTGGGTTTATTTTAAGGATTAAAGTTACGCCTTTATGGAATAATAGAAATATTATTGTTCGCAATTTTATTTGTGTTTATGTTTAGTAAATGATTTAATTTTTCAGGAGTGTTTCTAAAATAATTTAGAAAAAATAGAATATGCATCGTGTAATAATTTACTACTCATAACCAATCATAGACGTGTATAATGTGAGATTATATTTTTATTTTAAAACTATTTTAATTATATGATAAGTTATTGTATTTTTATTAAATAATAGTATAAAATTCCAATAATAACTAATATAAAATTTGAAAATTGTGAAATAAAGAGGTTTAAATAATTTGAAATTAGGTAATAATGGGGGTTTACCTCTTATTTTCTTAGAAATGCAAGATTTGTTTTGTTTATCATGAGAATAAAAAGTGAAAAAGGTATGGTAAATTATATATGTGTAATTTATAAAAAAAAAAATTGTGGCGTAATCTTGCAACTAAGGTGGATGTAACAAAGCCTTTGACATGTTAGATTAGGAACCTTTGTACAAAATTTTGAAGTTATTTGGTTTTAACATCAAACTCTACTAATGGGTCTTTTCCATCTTATCCTTAGCTCTTCCATCTGTAGTTTTCAATGGGTCCTTGCATGGTTATGTGTTAGGGAGGTCAGACAAGGTTATCCTTTATCACCTTTGCTTTTTTGTTTGGCATAAGAGGTGCTCAGTATAGGCATTTTAAAATTGGTATTGGATAGATCCTTGAAGTCAATGATGGGAACAAAGAACCTGCCTTTTCCAACTCATATCTTATATGCATATAACATTTTGATCTTTTACAAAGGCACTAAGTCCAATACTTAAGCTCTTACTTCTTTTTTCTTCAATTATGTTGGTGCTTCAGGTCAGTTTTTAGTAGTTCTAAATCCACTATTTTACTGGTAGTATGACCAATTCTATGTTAAATAGTATGGTGAATATGATTGATTTTAGCAAAGGAACATGCCCTTTATTTATCTTGGCGTGCCTATATTCAAAGGTAGAGTTATATTTAGACACTTGCAATATATTGCTCACAAAATGTTTGTTAAGCTTGGAACTTGGAAAGGATCTCTCATTTCTATTGCAGGCAGAACCCTCTTAGTTCAGTCTGTCATTCATGTTATGATTACTCACTTCATTTGTGTTTATTCTTGGCCTATATCTCTCCTAAAATGCATTGATAGAGCTACCAAAAAATGTATTTGGAGAATCACAGTTAACAAAAGGAAAATGGTAACAGTCTTTTATAAGAAAGTTTGTAAACCTAAAGCTAGTGCAAAATTTGGCATTAGACCTTTCATTTTCCTTAATGAAGCTTCAAATCTTAAGTTTTGTTGGAATTTACTTAGCTCTAGGGAGGAGTGGGCTTGTGTAATTAGAGACGAAGTTTTGAGACTTGGTGGTAAGATTAAACATCACATTGTTTCTTCAATTTGAAAAGGAGTCAAGTCTGAATTCAACACGGCTAAAGATCATTCCAGTTGGATTCTTGGAGATGATGGATATATGATTAATTTATGGTATGACTCTTGGTGTGGGAAGTGGACAGGACCGCTCCAAGCAGCTTGACAGCGGTCCTTTCTAATATGATATTGTAAAGGGATGTGACATCTACTATGAGACATTTTACTTCTATGGTTTAGGTGCTCGCCTCTGCACCAAGTGTTGTTTCAAGAGTAATATGGCCCCTGACTTTCATATGTTTGCATGTAAAATCGATCAAGGACCCTTGGAAAGTTCCAATGTTATGGGGATACATTTGGAGCTCCCAGAAGGTGCTCTAGATCATGTTGTATGTAGAACTTCAGAGTCGATTAATAATTGCTTCACATCTCAGTTGGCATAGTGAATTGTGATGATTGTGTGATCATTGTTATAGAGGAGTACGTCGATCATGTCTTCTCTCGAGAAGGCGATTATGGGCTCCCCCTCCCAGTTAGAGATGCTAAGAGTCTTTGTGGGTGTGACGTTTGCTGATAACGCTTGTCAGACGTATCTTTTAACATCCTACTTCCCGAGTCGACAATTAATTAAATAAAACATAAATCCATCAAGTAAAATGTTAATCAACATAAAAACAACTCGTATTTGTACTATATAATTGAAATTTAAACCATTTGATAAGGAGCAAAAATATAAAAACACTCGGCATAAAAAGCCTCACAATAATATTAGTTTGAAAATTGGTTCATTGTAAAATAAAATCAAATGGAAATATACGCAACATAAAGAAATGAAGAACAGTTTGTCCCCTCATATTACGTATCGGAGCAGCCCCAATATAGATTCGAATGACAAGAAACTAAAGAGGCACAACATTATCCTCAAATATCAAGCTCCTACTCAGGTACCTAATTATCTATACTTCGGAGGAGCACATACGCAATAACACAAAAAGGGGTGAGAATATATTCAAATACTAAACAATACACAAAACAATCATGATAGATTTACGTACACTACAAAGTCATACACGTATCAGATATGCACCTCAAATATCATGTATTCATAACTCACCCACATCACAGTCAAGCTCTCATGGACATATCGGAGTATTCATCAATACACAAGCATATCATTTGCACAATCATTATATAATGCAATGCGACAATCGACTCAACTCATGCTCGTCACGGTCCCCACTCTGAACCGGACTCACAACTCAAATCCATATGCATGTGGTACCGACTCAAAAATTGGTTCTTCATATGAATCGGATTCCAATCAACTACAAACCCCGAGCCCCCACTATAAGCTCCAAGCCCCCACTTTGAGCTTGGGACAAGTCTCTAGTCCTAACTCTGAACTATCAAACATGTATCTTTCACAATAATCGCAACCTATGATGCAGGACATATCACAATGCAGTGGAAACAACACAACAACGAATATAGCCCCACTCTGACTATAAACGATCATGCAATAACATAAGAAAGACTACAACCCTAGTCTGACTGTAATTCATCATGCACTTAACACAATACGAGTAGTTCTCACTCCAAACCACTCATGTCATCAATCAATAGCAAAACATGTACAATACGTATCAAATATTGTCTAAGATGCACAATTAAGAAAGAATCAATCTATTTAAAGAAGCAAAACAAATCTTTCTCTCGCATCCCTACTACGCCCCCTAGCAGGCCTCTGTCACTTGTTCTGGGAAGTCTCAAAAGGGGCATCTAGGGCTTCTTTCTACTATGGCCCGTAGTAACTCTCTGGTTTTTGTATGGGAGAAAATGCCTTTTTTTTTACCATTATGCCCTGTTTTGCTTGACTTTGATCCCTTTTTGTCTTAGATGCTCATTCGACCCTAAAATTAGCAAGAAAACACAAACCAAAGCATAAAACATGATAACTGAAAGTAAATTAAACACAATGCTAAAGGAAAACGACTAGAAATAACAATGCAATGACTGCTTATCAAATGACATTGTGAAACCAAGGCTTCATTCCACACTCCTCCTAACTAAATTAGAATCTACATCCTACAAAATGGCTCTCAAAGATCTTAGGTGATTAGTTGTTATGAAGGTTGAAAATGCAGTCTTGATTAACAACAATACTTTGGAGCTTTACAATTATACCTTTGATTAGAAGTGCAATATATTCTAAGTGGGGTTTTCAGAATTAAGTAAAATCCCGATGGTTCTATTCAAAAGTACAAAGCCACATTTATGGCTAAAAGTTATTGTATAGTGCAAAGCTTTGACTTTTAAGAGACCTCTTCCCTAGTAGTGAAGCCATTATTGTCAGAGTTATACTCACTTTGGCAATCTTTATACATTAGCACATCTCTGAATTACATGTGAAAAACTCTTTCCTAAATGGTCTTATAGAAGAAGAGATCTATATGCAATAACCCCCAGATTTCGTTAATACTAACACATCTCTTGCTTGCAAGTTGCACAAGGCCATCTTTGGGCTCAAACAGTCAACTGGGGCATGGTTTGAGAAACTTACTAACACTTTTCACCATTTTGACTTCCAAACCACTAAGTGTGATCCCTCATTTTTCACACTCACGAAACCTACCTATACCATATTTATATTATGTATCAGAGCAGCCCCACCATAGATTCGAATGACAAAAACTAAAGAAGTACAACATCGTCCTCAAATCTCAAGCTCTTACTCAGGTACCTAACTATCTATACTCCGGAGGAGCACAAACGCAACAGCACAAAGAAAAGGGTGAGAATATATTTAAATAATAACTGATGCACAAAACAATCCTGATAGATTCATGTACACTACAGAGTTATACACATATAAGATATGCACCTCAAATATCATGTATTCACAACACACCCACATCACAATCAAGCTATCACAATCATACCAGAGTATTCATCAATAC